ACGAGGTGCAAAAGATGATTCAGGAAGGCACAAGCAACTAAAAAAATCGTCGAGTGCAGTCCAAGTTATTGGAAGAGCCCGCCAAGGCGGCGGCAGGCAGGGGGTCCCCAGCAAGTCGAGCGCTCGGGCCAAAGCCCCCGTACAGGGCCACGCTCTGTTTTGGAACCCACGACCAGCAGGGAATCCGCACCCCCGATGCGTTCTATGTTGTCTTGCAAAAACGCCACCAGCCGGAGGCCGAACATGTCGGCGACTGTAGCGGGCCACGACCCCCTGGGCGGCTCATACCACCAGCAGCCTGATCCGACAAGATAAGAGCATGGGTTGCAGCAGCAAACAAACATGAATTGCAGGGCGTCGCGGCCGTGACAGGCGGGGGGCGGCGGCGGCGGGTTTGAAGCGCCCCACGCACGCTGGCAGCCGCTCGGCCAGAGCAGGAGGTTGCGCAGGCATGCTCTTCTGGACGCCTCGCACATGGCGTCTCGCTTCTGGCACTGGCGGGCCCCTTGGCTGGCCATCAATTGCCGGCAGCGCGTGATGCCTGTCCGAAGTTCATCACGATCCCAGGAGCACGGCCGTCCTCACAGCGACCCCCACCCGCTTTCCGCCGCGCACCTTTGCGGTTCAACGATGGGGAGATCGACGCCATGATTTTTGGAGGTTCCTTGGGATCGAATATGAAACCAAACCTGGGGGGAATCACGGGGCGAACCACAAGGATGAGAGATTGATGCTCAGGGACAAGCGCAATACGGTATGCTAAGGGCGTGGTGTTGCAGGCGCGGAACGAGTGCCCCACGGACCAATCAGGTGCACGTGCAGGGATGCAGCCACAGACGAGGCGCCCGCTGAGTCGTCCAACGAGACGCTGAGGCGTCGGGCCTCACGTTTCGCCTGCCCCACCAACTCCCAGGGCCTCGGCGGACTCGTAGGCTATCCAGCCGTATCCGTTGTTGCCCCAAGAACGGCCCCAAGAGTTGCGCATCAGCCACCGCTCTGGGGAGTTTGGCAGCACGGGACTGGGTTAGGCAGTTTGAACTTGTGCAAGGCCTTACTTTCAAGCAAGATCACAAACGTGCGAGTGTGTGTTTGGGGGGGGGGGCAAACATGCGCAGATTGCCAGGTTTTGCGAGACAGATACATTCGCTCGAGCAATGCCCAATCAACGTAGGCGCGGGCACACCCAGCACGTGCTCACGCTTGTCGTTGTCATAGCCTGTGGAGTGGACACGTGGTGGTGGGCGCCGCAAACAAGGTTAGCGACATTCTGGAAAGAGCGCCGGCCGCCGCGGCAGCGCGGGCACCAGGGGCAGCAGCAGTGAATTGGGGGATTTAGCCAGCACATCATGTTTGGGCGCTATGCAACTTGGACTGCTGCCTCATGCTACCCGCCCACCAAGGCCTACTGGCCGCTGATTGTCAAGACTGATGCGCCCTTCACCCACAACCCCGCAGAGCAATGCGCGACCCCCCCCCCCTTGTTTCGTGGTGCGGGCAGAGCGCTGGGCCTACGCTGTCCCTTTCAACAGCTGGCGCACTCACCAACCAACATCACAGCGTGCCCTTCCTTATAAGGTGCATCCTTAGGCCCCATGTAGGTGCCAGACGGCTGCTTCTGAAAAAACGGCTTGAGGTCACTGTGGATGTTCAAGCGCGTGACCACGCCGCCCCTGCGGTGACGTCACAATGGATGGCGAGGCCAGGATGCCAAGGAGCCACATAAGGGCGTGGCTGACTGCGTGGGTATCGCGCGTGTACAGGCTCTTCCTGATGTGGCCACTGGACTGCCTGGCAAAGCCACTTGCTGCCAATCAAAGCTCCTGCAAAGCCACTGCAAAGCCACTTGCCGCTAATCGAACCTACTGTAAAGCCACTGCAAAACCACTGCAACGCCACCGTAAAGCCGCTGCACAGCCGCTTTAAAGCCACTAGGAAGCCACTGCAAAGCCACTGGAAAGCCACTGCAAAGCCACAGAAAAGCCACTGGAATCCAAGACAATTGCCTCGCTTGCCCGGCAGGGGCAATCAGGACTGCCCCGCACGCATGTGTGCCGCACAGCTGGCTGCCAGTGTGGATTGTGCACGCGCACTCACCATTTTCGTATGTGGGCCTGTACCTCCCAGATGTTGTAGTACGAGACGTACCTGCATCAGGGTCAAATCGGGCACAAGGAATGCGGTGCAGGTCCATCAGTCACGGCAACAGGTCGTACAAACACGGAAGGATTGGCCTGCCCTGTCAAGCTGGACGAGCAGGGTGAGCGTCCTGTTGCAAGCAGAAGAGAAAGAGGTCGGGCAGAAGAGAAAGGCGACCTCTCAGCTCTGCCACCCCAGCACCACCCCCGCCAGGGTCTTCGCCGCCGCCCCCTTAGCTGTGCTCCCCGGGCGGCGCTGGAGCGCAGTGTGGGGCGCAGACGTGTGCCGACCAGATGGCAGCGCCGCCGCAGGAGCATCAGGCCCACCTGAATGTTCCAGCGCTGAGATCGGGGTCCGCGGTTTTGCACCTGCGTAGGCGCAAGATTGGACAGGGGGCCCGGCTCAAGGTGCTGCAGCCGAGGCAGCAGGCTGGGCCGCTTGGGCCTTGGCCCAGCCGGGCAGGGGCGGCTGATCAGCCGATCAGCCGCCCTGACGGCTCCGTTTGCAGCCAGGCCTTGGGTCCCTGCAGCCCAACGAGTCTTTTCCGGTTTGAGACCAGCCCGTACGGAAACCGGTCCGCCGTTCCCGCGCACACACGCAATGAAACATTCAAAAAGCGTGCAACAAAAGCAGTTCAACCTCACGTCTCCCACACGCGGCCCACGCCGCCATAGCCCTCTCAGACCCTGCCCGACACAATCAAGCGCCCCACACGACCTTTTTGCGCCCCGCGCCGACCCGCCCATGCGCCCCGACGCCTTAATTTTGCGGATGCTCGCCGCGCTCCCCTCCCCCGACGCTCAATCGTGCGTACACGCAGCAAGTCTCATGACAATGTGCGTGCCGCAAGCCTCAGGACCAACAAAGACTGTACATCTTGGTACTCACGAGTACTGGCAGAGGTCGGTGCCTGAACCCAAATCTGGAGCCTTGTAGGGCAGGCATTCGTCTTTCACAACGTAGTCTTTGGCGAGCATGGCAGTCACAAAGACCCTTTGTGGGTTGTGTGTGAATGAGTGTGTGTGAGCGTGTGTATGAGTGTGTGTGTGTGTGTGTGTGTGAGAGAGAGAGAGAGAGAGAGAGAGTGTGTGTGTGTGTGAATGAGTGTGTGAGAGAGAGAGTGTGTGTGTGTCTGTGAGAGTGTGTGTATGTGTATGTGCGTGTGTGTGTGCGTGTGTGTGTGTGTGTGCGTGTGTGTGTGTGTGTGTGCACGCACTGCAAACACACAGGTTTAACACATGCACGATGCCTCCGTGCATCAGGGCAGGCACCCCAGGCAAGTGTGCGCTCAGTGTGCACACGCGTCAGGCCAGGAGAACAGCAATAGGGAGGCGCACACGCATCAACTCTTCCCCCCTCCCCTCACATCTGATTTTCCGGTACTCACTGTACTGCTTTTTCAAGCGTCATGGCGCTACTGCGGCAGGACCGCACCTCCCCAGGTGAGGCATTCTTGCAGAAATGGAGGTCCTGGGCGGCGAAAATGATGGCGAACAAGGTCACAGGTCATTTGGGCCATGCGCCTGTCCAGGCGCCACTAGCGCGGGCGGCCGCCAGGCACGCGGCCCTGGCTCTGCTGCGGCCGCCTCGAGGCTCTTGTTTGTAAGGTCTGCGTATTTCCAAGGTTCAGGGTCCAGCAAGGTTTAGGGTCAGCAAAGCGGGAGCCCCCTCTCCCGCTTCTCCACCCAAGAGCGTCACTGGGACTGCGCGCCTGCACGCTCCACTGGCGGTTTGCGCCGCTCTTCCGCAGCCCCGCGCTGACAGCAGCCTCCGCAGCCGCAATCTGTCGGGAAGGGATTGGACTCACGTTGTCGGAAGGGGCGCTTGGGGTGTAAAAAAAAAGAAGTTTCCAGCGCCAAATCGGGGTTTCGTAACCGTCGCCAATGGTCAAACACCCTGAATCAGCGCCCAAGTTTCAGTTCCTCAAAATGCGCCCCATCGCGTAACCGCTCTGCGCAAACAGCGGGTGCCAGGACAATCCGCCACGCCTTCAAAGCCATAGCCCCAAAGAGGCCACAAGCCTGGCTGTGCCCGGACCGTTTGCTGTGCACAAACACATGGCTGCGCCCACACTGCTGCCTGTGCCCCCAGGCCGCTCAGACTCACGATGGCGAAGGCCGTGCAGGTCGCGCAGATGCCCTGGTCCAGGACAGGGGGCAGCTGGCAGGGGCACAGGGAGCACGGCGTTCGATCGGAAGCCGGGGGCCATGTGGGTTGGGTGCGGCCAGGCATGGGGGGAGATGCAGAGGCGGTGGCGCGAACCGCGAGCGCGAACGTTGTACTCTAGTGGCCAACGCAGGGTCGCTGAACCCCCAGACACAGGCCGCCGTCCAACCCAATCCTTCAGCTTGGCGCCCGAGCGGCGCCCGCCCGAACCGCGGCCGCCCAAGCGGCGACCGCCCGAACCGCGGCCGCCCGAGCGGCGACCGCCCGAGCGGCGACCGCCCGAGCAACCGCCTCCGCCCCACGCACCAGTGCGGTGCCGCCCGTGTCGGCTGTTGAGCGCGCGTCAAACCTGGACGAACTGGCTGCGAAGGTGAGGCGTGCCAGGTCGTCGCTGGCGCCGTCGCCTGCACAGAGGGACCCAGACTGCTTGCTACACAACGCTGAGGGCTTGGCCTGCGGCGTGAAGTTTGTGGGGCAGGGGTTGCGCCGTGCGGACGACCAGCTTTGATTGAGGGTTGGGGAAGGGCAGTACCAGCCAGTGGCAAGGCCCCATCCCACTCCACTGCACTGAGCGCGGCGGCCCTGCGGCACGCGGCAGGTCAAAAGTGCAGCGGCCCGGCCGCCTTCGCAGCCCACACGCTGTGGAGCCACGGGGTTCGATCCAGTGCCGCGCTGCCGTGCGGGGCGCACGCACAAACCTTGTAGTCCGCAATGAGAGCCTTCGCGCCCTTGTAAACCTCCATCAAGCTCTTGTAAGTGCCAGTAGAGCCCAGAGGGTCGCTACGCTTCCCGATCAGCCCCTGGCCCTGCACCCCAGGCGCCACCAGCAGTAGAACGAGGGCCAGCGCCCGCATCAGCGGCGCCGCCGCGATCGGCACTACGCATCGTGCCGCTCGCGGCATCGCGCCGCTGCACGCGCGTTGCAGGGCGGGTGACAAATTGTGTTAAGGGTGTGGATGGCATGCGAGCCAGCAGGATGAGCTTGTCATCTCTTTTCAGGGCCAGCGGCGGTTTGCGCAGGGCGCAGCGTGCGGCGGGCGATGCAGCGACGCGCCAGACACCGGGCACGCCACTGTTGGGTGATCTCCCCTGAGCAGGCATGCGCGACGGCCAGTGCTTCGACGGCCGACCTGCTGTCTCACGAACAAAGTTTCGAGGTTGCATCCCCATCAAGGAGACACTCACCCGCAGGTGCACACACCGCGCCCTTTCAGTGGTGGGGCAGCGCGGTGACAAAACTGTCGCGGGCCTCTTCTGTTGGTTTAAGTGCAGTTCACGTGCTCACTGGCGCCGAAATGAACCGTCCCGGACCGCACCGTCGATGTTTGGTCTTCAGCAGTTCCCGATGGCAAAGGAATCTCACTGACCGGGAACGCGTCCTTGCCATATGTTACTGATATGTGAGCTCGATTCGCATCAGCAGCGGACCTGCAGGCGACCAGCACGGGACTCAGCCAAAGCACTGGCAGTCGGAATGGTGACAACACGGTGGCTGCCAGGAAGCCAGCACAGCGCACACCACACCTTTGCTGCTTCCACCATCGCAACCTGTGCGGCATGCTGACAGACCCATCAAGGCACTCTGCCTGGCTGTGTGAACAACAGCATGCGTGCGCCTGTCGCACGCGCGCGCTTTCTGAGAATGTGTGTATGTGTCCCAGCAGGCCACTACCCGCCTGGACGCACCCCCACCACCTCCTTGTGTTGCCAGTAGAGAGTTTGCCGGCGCTGCTTGCCACACAGTTGCAGCGTCTTAGCCTCGTGCACCTGAGTCCCGCACACCTCCTCTCACCAAGCAAAGGAGTGCCCACGGCGCTGCCGCGCAGGGCGAGAGACCTGCACCTCCATTTTGATCAACCACCCCAGCTCGTCCAGCGAGTGAGCGCCCACTGGAATTCAGTCCTGAAACGCAAATCGTCATTACTAAATTGTTTTCAGCCCCGCCGAAAGCATATGCCTGGATGCGTCCCTCTCCCCCACAAGGCGAGCCCAGGGCTCTGCACTGCATCTCTGTGTACCTATCCATCCCTGGCCGGATTGGCAGCCCCAAATACACAGGCGCTCAAGTCCGCTGGCCAGTCACCAGCTGGCGTGCGGTTCGGCCCCGCGCACGCATGTGACATACTTGCGTCCACGCCTGGAGATTGCGAGCAGCTACCGACACTTGCGCTGACACAGGAGCCCGGCACTGTGCTGGGGATCCTCACGTCTGAACCAACGCATAAGAACAAGACAAGCAACCAGGCAGTCACATTGCTGGGCGTCACCGAGAGCGGACAGGCCGCGCAAGCGCGTGCGCCTGGAGGCATAACATGCACAATGCGTCCCGCAATCGTCTGCTGAGCCATGCCCAGGGTGCACCCTTGGAAAAGCAAGCGGCGCAAACGCGGCCATCAGCTCACAGGGGCTGGGCGCAGTGCTGGCGGCATGCGCACTTGCGGCAGCGCCGCCGCAAGTGGGCCGACCCTCTGCGGGCAGCTCAGAGCACCTGCTTAGCAGTGTGTGGTGCGCCAATCGCGCAGTGGCTGCTGCCCTGCACGCACGCTTCCGGCCAGGCAGGGTCCAGGCGCGCTCACACGCAGCGGCTGGCCGACCGCGGCCTCGAGCTTCCTGGAGGCTTTGGAAACTGCTCAAATTTGCATGACAGTTACAATACAGAGCACGCACATGCTTTGTGAGGCGGCAAATTTAAAGAGACGCGAGAGCGTTTGCAGGGGAGTGAAGTGCAGGACGAGAAGTGCAAGCAGCGCCGGCCAGGGGCGTGCGCACACGCGTCAGCGTGCTGAGAAAGCGCGGGTGCATTTGAGAGGAGTGTGTGCCGACAACGAGGCCGCCTCTGCTTTATTGATGCGTTGAATGGGATGCGGTCGCATGGGGTTTTGTCAACCGCTTTATTTGCCCCTGCAAGCAGGCCGGCCATCGCCCAGACAGCCGAGTGTCCTACCCGAACGCCGTCGCTGCGCGTGCACACGCCTGATTGCGGGCAGCGCCCGTGCAGGGATTGAGAAAATCAGGGTAGCGAAGAAGCCCTCGGCAGATCGCGGGAGCGCAGCCAGGCAGGAGAAAGCCGGCAAGAAGCCCAGAGCCCGTGCAGCCACGCGCAGCACACAAAACCGCACGCGGCGCGCGGCCTCGAACCAAACGGGCGAGGGATCATTTGGGCAGTGATCATGATCGGAGATTGTGCACGAGGTGTGGTTGCTCATCGGACGGCCGACGGTGGGGTATGGGCAGATTCGGGTGCCGGCGATGCTCCCACACGGCGCACGCATAGCTTGCGAGGTTTCAGGGCCGGCGGCGGAAAGTTTTGGTTCGGAAAAGCACCCGCAGCGGTTGCAGATTGTCGTCGGCCGATTGAGGGATCGTGCTCACTGCTACCTGGTCCCGATTCTGGGGTGTCATGGTTTGCGCAACGAAAAACCTAGGCTGCCGCCGCGGGAGAAAGCGGGCTCCTCCCAAAAGAGCAGGCCGAAAGACAAAAACTGCCAATTGTCCAGTGAGTTTGATGATGGCGGGCCGGCAACGGCGCGCCTCTGTGTGCTCACCGGCTTGAACTCAGTCACGGATGAGAACTTCGCTGCGAAGCGACGTGCGAGCGGGTCGTGGCTAGGGACCAAGCGCCGGCATGCAAGCCACAAGAAAGCGCAACGAGTTGCGCCATGGCTGCGCCGACAGCAGGACAGTGTTGGGCGATACATTGCGTGGCAGGTTGCGGCGCTCAGACCAAATGCATGTGAGACTGTGGCCCAGAAGCAACACCGCCGGCAAGGACGAATTCCACCCCTACGTTTCTGTAAGTCTGACCTAATCGTTCAAACATGAATGTTCAAAGCCGCGCCGCTGAGATGCGCCGTGAGCCGTCGCAGCGCACACTCGTGCACCGCTCAGGCGGGGCGAAGCAGGGAAACACCTCAGGTTGGTCCTCGACCCTGATCATTGAGGACAGGGGGCACGCGACTGAGGCTCCAGCGCGGAAGGAAGCTCTTAGGTGGATGGTCAAGCCGTCTCCGGCACCTGAAATGGCACGGCTGGCTGGTGAGTATTCCAGGCCATGGTGAATATTCCAATGTGGGTGCAGCGGGTATAACCTGATGCCTGGGGTGCAGCGAAAGGTACTGCCTGGGGTGCATAGCTCAAGGTACGCGCTGGCTGCGCCCGTGGTTGCGCGGCGCCACGAGGAGCCGTGGGCAGCCATTGGCGCGAGCGCCGCCGCGCGGCGCCAACGGCTTGGGAATCCCTCGCGGCCCGGCGGGCGCGCACACGGCGGGCGCGCACACGGCGGGCGCGCACACGGCGGGAGCCCGCACGGCCAGCGGGCCCCGCCTGCAGTGGCACGCGGCGCAGCGCTCAGCCCTTGCGCGGGCGGAAGCAGTTGTCTTGGGGCGCCGAGAACTTGATCCTGTCCGGGAAAACCTCGGGTGTGAACTTCATAGTGTGCGCCAGGACGCGCCAGCACTCGGCGTCGTGGAGCGGCCAGGGGAATGCAAAAGCCATGCACTGCACGGGGAAAGGGGCGACGTTCAAGGTTTAAGGGGGCCCAGTGAGTGCATGCAGGTGTTGGTGTGCAGGAGACCGGGAGGGATGATTTTTGAAGGGCAAACAGGGAGGCCTCCTGAGCGCCAGCCTGCGCATGCCAAGCGAGGCGGCCTGGGGGTGCGAGGCCACACGCGAATGTTGCCAGCCCGCCAGGGGTGATAGCGAGCGCTCCTGGCTCCTGCCAGCAGCGATAGGGTTTGAGCACGCACCCACCTTGGCCAGCTGGGCGGGGTGCATCACGGCCCTGGATGCCTGTAAGGGCGCACACAGGGCGCAGTGTGGCGAACGCATGTGAGGGGTGCGACGGATGCACGCGTGCGGGGAGGCTCATAGGATTTGGTGGATGCCGAGTTTTTGGAGACGCAGCTGCCAACACAGGTGGGTCGGTACCTGTGAACGTCTCAATGCGTCCCAAAGTGTTCACACCACCGGCGCTCTCGTTGCCGCCTGCTGCTGTGCATGCATACCGGGACAACGCTGCTCATTATGCTGATCGCTTCCCACATCCCACCCCTTCCCCCACGCAAGCAACCTGCGTGCGCAGTCCCCTGCCGCATGGGGGACGTGATCATGCAAAGCCGTCACCCCAGGGGGCCACAGATGGGAAGCTACTTGACATGCATTGGCGACGTGCACGCAGCAGCAAGCATGAGAACACACTGTGCATGAAAGGGTGGCCTGGATTGGGGATGCGTCGAGGCGTGCAAAGTGTCGGCAACAGCACGGCATGCCTTGTGCAGTGCACGTGGACGGTCATCATGATACCAAACACGTGAATGCCCACCTGCATCATCATCATCATCGCCGTGCTTTCACACCGTGAACTCTCGGCAAGAGCCTCTGCCAGCGCCTCGGCCGCAGGCGTGCTCTCCGTCAGGCGAAGCCACGGCGCCCCAGCCGCCAGCGCCGCTGGCGGCTGCGCCATGCGCGGCGGCGCCTCGTGCGGTGGCTGCGACGCGTGCGGTCCCTGAAGCCAGTAGTCCGGATCGCCGGGCCCGTTGCTACGCGCCGCGCCGGCGCTCACGCTTGCGCTGGCGCTGGCGCTAGCGACAGATGCAGCGGGCGACGCGAGTGACGCGGCAGGAGAGACCGCGGGCAGGCCGCAGGTGGAGGCGTGCAGCTGCGTCGAGAGGCGTACTATCTGCTGGAGGCGCGCCTCTCTGAGGGATTTGAGCCGTTGGCCGAGAAACCTATTGCACTCCAAAACAAGCTGAGCCTGGTTTGTTGATTGTTGTTTGTTGTTTGTTGTGTGTTTGTGTGTGTGTGTGTGTGTGTGTGTGTGTGTGTCTGTCTCTGTGTGTGTACGCATGCAGGTTTGCAGGTGTGCAGGTGTGTTGTTATGCAGGTGTCAGGGGGTTGTGTGCGCGCAATCATACATGTTTGTGCATACTTGAGTGTGTGCTTGCGTGTGGTTGAGTATGCACCCGCATGCACGCACCCATTCGTGTATGCATGACAAGTGTTGAGATTGCACTTGTAGGCAACCGTGACATGCTTTATAGCAGAGGCCCCCTCCACGCGCACACATACCCATGTGCACACATACATGGACACACATCCTCAAACATACGACCACACTCCCACACGCGTTTGAGTGTATGCACGCTCGTGCACGCGTGTGCACACACACACACACACTCTCTCTCTCACACACACAGATACATACACACCAAAGGTAATGTTACACACACACACACACACACACACACACACACACACACACACACGCAGGCGCACTCCCAACATGCGCACCTGCACCCTCGTGAGCCCCGCGCCCCGCACGCAGCGCTCCCAGTGCGGCAGCCTCGCGTCCTCCATCCCGGCCGCCGGCCGCCCCGTCAGCAGGTGCCCGCCCATCAACCCCGCGTACGCGTCGGCGTTCCAGATCGCCAGCAGCCCCAGGAACGACCCCAGCCGCCGCCCGACGGCCCCGAGGCCCGGCGTGCAGGGGGCGCGGGCGGCTTGGTCGGGGCTTGCCGCCCTGTTGATGTCCCGGAGGGCGGGCTCGAGGCAGCTTTGGAACATGAGGCGCGCCTGGGCCGCATCCATGGCCCGGACCTCCTTGACCTGCTCGAGGGTTACGCTGTGGGCCCGAAGGCGGCAAGGGAAGGGCAGATGAGGGGCGTGCATGCGACAAGTCAGACGGCATACCGACGTTGTGTTGATGTGTATGTGCATGTGCGTGCGTTCATGCGTGCGTGTGTGCGCGTGTGTGTGGTGGGAGGGGGCTGACGATGCAGTTGCGCAGGCTGTGAGGGCGCAGTCCTTGAACATGGCCAGCCTTATGGATGTCAAGGCAGCTCGATTGGCAGTGGTCCCGGCTGCATGTGAGAGTGGACGGGAGTCAGGTCAAGGGTGCCGCTGCCGCAGCCACATCCGATCAGGACCTGCTTGAGGCCTGGATGGCCCCTCAAGCGCCCCCCCCACTGGCGTTCACTCTCACCTTTCGAGGTTGAGCAGGCTGCGGCCAGGCGCCAGGTGGGGCAGGCGGTCCCAGACTGCGTCGAGGGCGCTCTCCGCCGAGCCCAGGCTGCTGACCGGACCGCGGCTCGGCGGGGGCGCTTCTGCGCAGCTCAACGGGCTGCCGCCGCCGCCGATCACGCCGCGCACGTTGGAGCAGGTGGCAGCGCCCCCCTGTGCCGCGTCGCTCAACGCGGACCCCGGCCCAAGGGCGACGAAGCCCTGGTTGCCGCCGTCGACGCCGCACCAGCCTAGTGTCGCGCAGGCCAGGCCACAGCTACTCTGGGGTCCCGCGCAGGTGGACCGCGCCGCGGCAGCGGGCGCGGGCGCCGCCGTCGGCGCGAGCGCCGGCGCATGGCGCACCAGCTCAGCCAGCCGCATCACCCTCAGGTGGGCGACGACCTCATCCATCGCCCTGGCCACCACACTCAGGGCCACCAGGCGCAGTCGCAGCACCTCCCTCTCGGCCTCGAGCGCAGCGGCCTGCGGGGCGGCCGGGAGCGAAGGGGCGGAGGCGAAGCACTTTCAGCAAGACCCGAAGCTGTTGATTTTCAACCGCTTCGACCCAAACCGGCCTGGCGCCAGCTACAACGTGCTGGAAAGGTTTGGCGTCGCACAAGGCATGCAGCCGCGCTTGCCAGGCCCAAACTTTCGGAGCGTGAGCGTGGCAGCCGGCTGGCCTCGTGGGCATGGTGATGCGTCCAACGATCAGCTGCGGACCCTCGCGGTTGGGCCGCACGCAAGGTCAGCAGGAGCGCTCACGCTCGCGTCATCGTGCGACCGCCCCCCACCTGTGCCCGAATGCGCGCCAGCCGCTCCTTGAGGCGCGGCACAGAGTCCTGCATCTGCCGCAGCCCGCACGCCGCCTGCCGCGCGCCGGGCCCTTGGCGCCTGACACCCCCTCGCTGATGCGCGCGATCGCTCGTGATGCGGATGACGCGGGGATGCCGCCGCCGCGCCCTTGCCCGCCGCCGCCACGCCGGGCCCTCCTAGTGTGCAACTGGGGTCAACTGCTGGTATTTTAGGTCAGAAAGCGGGGCCGGCGGGGGCACCAGTGGTGAGAGGAGCAGCGCAAGCAGCTCCGATCGCTGGCGCTTGATGACGGTTGCAACCCACGGGGCAGCAGGACGCGCCGTTCTATGAAGGGGGCCCTAGAGACCTACGATCACAATCACATCTACCGTTTGTCTATGCGAGTCTGGAGTTTGGGGCACCCTCTTGGTGGGCCGCATTCTACGTGCCGTACCTTCCGGGATGTGGGGGCGCCAGCTTTGGGCCCTTCGCTGGCTTGTAGCAACCAGCATATAACCACTATAATCATCACCATGGTGTAGCGTGGACACTCTTCTGCGTGTCAGCTGGAGCGCTGCCCCGAACAAGGAACACGCACCCTGGCCGGAACGCAGTGACCATTACGATCAGCCACCTGTCATTGACAGAGATCGACAAAAAGTTATTGTCTATCGTTGGATAACATCAGCGTGAGGGATCCACACACTGTGCTTCACTTCCAGTGCTGCACCGAACCAAAGTGTGGCCCTCAACCACCGGTTACCAGCCATTGCAGGCCGAAAAAGAGGCATAATTGTTCGTGGTTTCCGCAAAGGTGGGCGGGTCACCCGGCCTGCACCACAGCCAGACGTGGCTCAACGTCGCGAGGGTGCCTATGCCTCTGTGAAGTCTAACACGGGTGCACACACATTCTATACGTGTCAGGAGTCTTTCCAAAAGCGCCGGTAGCAGCCAGGCGCAGCGCATGGGCACACCGCGACTTTGCGCGCCGTGACGCCCCGCCGCCGCCCTCGCGCCACCCGCGCCCCACCCACCCGCGCACGCGACAGAGCAAATGGCGCCGGCGCGCGCGCTGCGACTGGTGGCGCTGCTGGCGTGCTGCTTGCTGGCTGCAGGGCAGGGCCTGGAGCGCAGCAGGGACAACCTTTTGGGCTCCAGTGGAACGTACAGGAGCCTTCAGTCTCTCATGGCCAGCTCCAAATCATTTCAAAACGCGTTCAAGGTGAGAAGCCAAACCGGGCCGCTGGCGGCCGGCACGGCAGCGCAACTGCGAGAAATGGACGCACAAGCAGCCGGAGCCGTGCATGCAGACTGTGCCAACCGACTCTGTTGCCTGCCGCCGCGCGGAGCAGCACCCCTAACTCCCCCTTCCCCCGCTCACGCGAGCGCGCACGCCCGCACGCCCGCACGCCTCCCCCGCCGCGCGCAGACGAACCGCGGCAGCGCTTGCAGCAACAAGCAGGGGTCCCTCTGCGCCGCAAAGGCCAGCGTCGACGAGACGGCCGCGCTGACAGTAGCGGCCTCTCCCACGAAGTTCGACGCCCGCAGCAGCAGCGACACGGGCGGCTTCGTCCTCACGTCGCCCGTGGGCGACCAGGGCTCCTGCTACAGCTGCACGGCGTTCGCGGTGGTGAGGCGCCACGCGGGCTGCAGCAGGCGGCGGGGGTGGGGATGGGTGGGTGGTTGGGTGAGGGGCGACCCTCACGCATCGCAGCAGCATGCCGGCGTTGATAGCAGGCGACGGCGGCGGCGCTCTCTCTTCCCACGCCCGCGTCCTGACGCCGAACGGACGCGCGGCCCGCAGGCTGGCGCGGCGGAGGCCGCCGTCTCGGCGGCGCTCCGCAAGACGGCGGTCGGGCGCAACTGGAGCGTGCAGGACCTGCACTTTTGCCTCGCGACCAACTCCGGCGAGAGCAAGTCGTGCCGCTCGAGCGCGAGCAGCCTGATAGACGTTTTGAAGCCGTTCACGGCGGCGACGCGCGCGCTGGTGCTCGACAAGTGCCTGCCCTATGAGGCGCCGGACGCGCCGCTCGACCAAGACCTCTGCGATTACAAGTGAGTGGGAATACTTTAATCTGTCAGACTATAATTGTGGAATGGCGGTGCTTGCTTTGGCGTGACTGTTCATCAATGAGCCGGCGCTTGGGCAGGCAACAGCCACGCTGGTTTCCTTCGCATCGAGGTTGGGTCTGGTGTCAGGGTGACGTCTCCGGCTGCGGTGGGGCGGTTTGGGTGGGATCGGCGCGGTCGGCGCCACACGACAGCGCGGCGACTGGAAACGTGCAGGAAGCATCCCAGGTGGCGCGGCGACGCGTGCGATGGCGGCCGCATGCCAGGAAAGCGAGGTCGCAGGTCGATCGCCAGCGCTGCGTGACGGGTCCCAGCGGGGCACGACGCAGAGGCGGGCCGGGCGCCCCTCCCGATCCCTCACAACCGCCAACCAGCAGTGATCTTGAGCCACCCAGGGCGCCCTCGGCCTCTGCTCCCCCCCTCATCCGGCCCCACCCACCACCCACCAACTCTGGATCGACACTGCTTTTTTGCCACACAGGTGCAAGGACACAGACCCAGATGCCGTCGGAAAATTTGAGTACGTGCAGCTCAACTCGCCGTGGGAGGTGCAGGAGCACCTGAGGAACTGGGGAGGCGTGGTGACGCGTCTGGACATATACGGTAGGGGCGTGGGCAGGGTGGGGTGGGGGGCGACAGGTTTTTCTGGGAGCGGGGGGCGTCTGGTGGTGCGGCGGTGTGGTTGTGGTGGTGTGCAGGGGGCAGGGCGTCGAGGGGTCGGGCCATCCTGGGAGTATGGGGCGGAAGGGACAAGGGGGCGGTCAAGGGCGGGGCGGCGCGGTGAGTCTACGACTGGAACGGGCGGCGAGGGCGGCGGAGATTCGGGGGGTGGTTATTGTGGTATGGGGTGGTAAGTGAAGCTGAGTCATCTGGCGGGGCGCCCAGGAAGCCCTCCGCTCCTCAGGCGCCGTCCGCTCGGGCACAGGCACGAGCTCATCATTCTCTCCTCCAAAACACCAGCCTGCCGCTCTCTGCAATCCCCGGCTCTCCTGCCTGCGTCACGCTGCGCCGACCCAGCCTCCTCTGCCCGCCGCGCTGCACAACCCGTGTGCCCCTCTGCCTGCGCCGCCCAGACGACCTGAGGCCCTTCTTTGCGAAGAACCCGAAGGGCAGCTACAACGGCCCGGCTCCCAACGCGACCTTCATTGAGGGCCACGCAGTCTTGCTCGTTGGCTACGACAACACCCGGAGTGAGCGCGCCGGCGACGCAAACTCGCCAGCTCATGCCTCGGCGCCAGCCAGGCCGTGCATTTGTCACTCGCCGCGCGCGGCGTTGCGGTGCGCCGCGCCTTGGTGCCGGGTGTGGGGCCCTGATTGCAACCACACCCGCGCCTCTCCCACACTGCGGTGAATCTCAGACAGCCGGCGGGCTAAACCCTAACCTTGAACCTTGGACCCTCAACTCTTGGATCCAGACGCCTACCTTATCAAAAACAGCTGGGGCACTGATTTCGGCGACGGCGGGTTTGCTTGGATATCATACGCTGCGGGGGAGAAGGTCGGGATCGGGGCGCGCGCCGACACGTGAGTGATCTCAAAAACAGCATGGGTTCAGGGTCACATATGTCGTTTTGGGGTGCGGAGGGCATCTGTTGGGTGTGCCTGGATTCTGACTTGGGACAGAGTGCATGTACACGGGCGGTGGGGTCGCAATGCAGGGGCCAGAGGCGCGGTTTGGCGGGGCACAGGTAGATGGATGGGAGAGCGTGTGTTAGACTGTTTCCTTGCTTTGCGTGTGCAGCCACGATGCGATTGCGCCGCGGCGGCTACTCCTCACTCCGCTGCGCTGTCACAGCCTCCCCAGCTTGTCCCTCATCCCCACCAATACACAACACCCTGCATCGCCGCCCACGCCCCCCCCCCCTTGCAGCTACGGCCTGCGCTTCCGCCCCGCCAACCCGCCGCCGCTGCCGTTTGTCTACACGACAGCCGCGCTCACGGGTGAGTCATTCACAGCCGCCCGCGCTTGCTGGGTGGGAGGAGCCGCGACCTTCCTTCTTGTGATGTGAAAAGAAGCGAAAAGAAGACTGTACCACCCCGCTTCCAGGCATCTTTGCATGGACCCCGGCACCCCAGTGGCATCGAGTGTATGACTGCGCGCTCCCCACCCGCAGAAACGGGCCCCCTTTCTCAGGGCCTCTCTGGACGCACTTGCTGCTCGTGTCTCTCTGGTTCTCTGCCCCTCTGTCTCTGTCTTTTGCTCTCGATTTCTAGTCCTCAATCACTCACACATATACACACACACATGCATGTACACAATTGTTCGCACGACACTCACAACCTCCCTCCGTTTCCAACTGCCCTGACGCCGCGCCCGCCCCTGCAGACTGCCTCAACCTAACAGTCCCCGACGGCATGTGGCCCTCCACTGTCGCCCAACTGGTGAGCCCTCGTGTCCCCCCGCCCTGCTCTCCTTGTGGACCCTATAGGCAGATACCTTGTCGCAAGATACCTTGTCGCAGGTATTTTTTACCCCCCCCCCTTCATCCTTCCCCAGCCTTCCTGCGTGCGTCAGGGTTGCGCCCCCTCTCCCCGCGCTCCCGCCTCAAGCCGGCTGCCCTGATCCGCACCCGGTCCCCCACAGCTGCGCGTGCCTCTGAGGAAGCTTCTGATTGACAACCTCGAGACCATCACTGGTGAGCAAACTGCACACCTCCGGTTCAGACTCGAGGTAACCTTCTTGCGACCGCGACATGTCCATTTGCAAGTGAAGGCAGGGCAGGTGCCTATAATTGCATGGGGGCGGCTGCCAGCACACCAGCAAAGTCCCGACAGCCCTGACTAAAGTCAGACACATCGACCATCACCCTGCTCCTGGTCGCTCCTTTGGCCTGGTGCGGATATCATCACCTCGCCACTGCTACCACCCAACCTGACTGCAACTTCTTTGAATCACAGCCGGAACCTTTAATTTGCACACTTCACATCCTCAGATCTTGAGAAACCCCTCGACCCCAAGAAGCCCCTCATCGCCTGCGGCGTACCTCAAGCCATCGTAACCCGCCTGATGCCTGTCGGCGGCAGGCCCGCCGCCGCCTCGGCGTCGCCGGCGGCGGGGCTGTCGCCGCCCGCGACGCCAGCACCCGCACCCAAGGGCGACGCTGCAGCGGCGGCGGCGGCAGATGCGGCGGCTGGCGAAGATTGCCAGGCGAACGAGCCGGAGGTGGGTCCCTAACGCGACCCGCCGCCTCTTTCTCAGCCCACCCACACATCCTATTGACATCATGCGTGCTTCGCAACACTCATCCTTGAGCACCCAAGCACACCTTGCGGCGCATTTGCGCAACACCTACGTGCTCGCACACACACAGTTGCAAAGGCAGTTAGACGCACACACAATCACATGCACGCACGCGCGCACGCGCGCGCGCACACACACACAAAC